TTCCTTCGCTAATATAACTCTACCTTCAGTGGCCCTTGGGCCTTTATTTGTTGAAAATTAGTAGAATCTATCTATCTATCTATATCTATATATATATGTGTGTGTATATATATATATATATATATATATATATATATATATAGATAGATAGATAGATATATATATATATGTATGGAGAGAGAATGAGAAAGAGAGAGAAAAAGAAGAGAGATAATAATATCAGATCCGTAACAGGAAAGTATAATCCAAGTGGTTCTTTTTAAATAAAAAAATATTAAAAAGATAGATCCGTAGAGATCTCAATGCATAGAATACAGAGCAATATGATATTGCATCAAGGATATCTTATTTTTCTGATGTCTTACGTTTGTCCTATATATATATATATATATATTGCGTGTGTGTGTAGGCATGATTGTGTGTGTTAATATCCTTATATCTTATTTTATCAATAGTCCCTGATAAAGGTATAGTGGCATCTGTTATGAGTTTAAGCGTCGCCCTGTTCGATCTGACTCACAACATGAAATTTATAAGAAAATATGTCATATGTTGTTTTCTCTTTTGGGTGTAAGTGCAAATATAGCTTTCCAAATATCCACATCTTTTTCTACTTAAACTGAGTAAGAATGAGACACAAAAAGTATCATCCATTCCGATTATATCTATTACATACACTTTCGTTACTCTATTAGAAATGTTTGTACAAACAAAGTCTTTAAATAATATCAGTAGAACACTGAATAGACTTAAGCAACGGGGAACAGGGTGAGTGTAAATGATAACCGCGACTTTATTTTCGTCAATAGAATGTCAGATATCAGGGTTACACAAATTATTGTTTTTCATTTATAATTATCGTTGTTTAAAATTCACCAAGGCAATAAATCCACAAAGACGCAACTGGATACTGATTATGAGAGAATATGCGAAAAAGAAAACGTTATTACGTAGAGGGAACTATAACAGAACAGGAATTAAGAAGACATAAAATAACGGTTGAAACTACTTTTAAATTTTTCAAGAACAAATTTAACTGGAAAAGCAAGAAGCCGGAAGTGAAGAAACTTTTAGCATCAAACTTACATTTAATTACATTTCAACGTACATTTACATTTTATTAATTACATTTAATAATTTCAACTGTAAAATGATGAAACCTTGCTGCCAGTCCAGTGCTACGCTTAAATTCATATATTCTACACACCAAAGAGGGAAGCTTATCAGAATAATTACCAAAAAAATTTATAATAGGCAGAGAGAAGGTACATTAGGACAGTAGGAAAGTGACTCATGCCGAGATGCCAGGTCAAGACCAATAATATTGCAGATTCTTCTTTGTATTTCATTAAGAATCCCTAGGTGCATAGCAGAAAAATCAAGCTAGGATGTGACGAATATATCCAATGCATGGACGAATGGTAGGCTTATAAATGTCTAAGATAGATTCTGTCGAGAAAAAATGTCTAGCACGACAGAGTGAACCAACTTTCCTAGCATCAGCGCTAGCAATTGATTCAATATAATCTTTGAACTTGAATATCAACGGAAAACTTTAGTTCGAGAATACTTCTGGAGATTAGCATCAGGAAATGGAAGGCAAAATGTTTTTCTCAAACGATTAAAATCAAAATAAAAATGATTTCATAATATTGGTAGAAACTAACCTGCTTCTCACTATTTCTAACATTTTCCAGGTTTCCTTTTCAAAGATTTTCATTAAATTTGTCTATAATTGTAGCTTTCACTAACCTAATTCTTATTGATTGAAGTTTAAGTCTAAGCAGAACGCAATCTACTGTTTTGAAATCTACTGTTGGCTAAGAAATTGCGCCGTTGTTGTAAAAAGCTTATATTTTGGAATGTTGGCTTTAGGAATTTACGTGATAAAAGATACAAAAGACGCCAAAACTTAGTCTGCAACTCTGCCACACTCTTCCGAAACATGAAATATCATCACGAATGATGTGGTGTCTTTGGGAATGCATAGTTGCTTAAATGTGTACGTATTAAAGGTAGAAAGAAAAAAATGAACAGAAAAAAAAAAACGGAATAAAAAGATCGAATGAGAACTGCGGAAAGGAAAAAGAAATGGAGGAAGAAAAACGAAAAAAAAAAAAAAAGATAAGAGAGAGAAACATCCAAATGTATGAAAATACATGTAATTAAGAAAAAGGAAAAACAAGAAAGAAAATATGGAATTAGTTTCCGAAGTGGAAGTTGTATGATGATGATGATGATGATGAGAAAGAGAAAAAAGAGAAAAGTCAAATTCGACCAGAAGGCTGAAAGAAAATTGATGAAGTCTGTGAACGGGCTTGGCATCTTCGACAAAAGGCCATGATAAGCGATATATAGGGATGGGGGAACATAGATCAAAGGCTGATTCTCTACCGACGTTGACGATGCGTGAATGGAATGTGCAGTTTCAACACTGAATGTTATGTTTACACCTTCGTCTTGAGTGCATCGCGTAAACAACTGTGACTCCAGCTGGCGGGTTTTAGTCGTCGACAGCTGTTGGGTAATGCCGTGGGGCGGGATAACGAGAAAGGATGACTCGTGAAGAGGAGAACGATAAACTGGACAAGAGGCTCAAAGAGATAGATAAGAAAGAGAATGAAAAGAGAAAAAAAAGAAAGAGAGAATGATGGAAGAGATTAGTAAATATAATAAAGCGATAAAAAGATAGAAAACTATATGGTAAATTAATAAATCTTTGACATGCATCAGCTATGTCTTTTAACTCTATGAAAGACTTTAAGATTGAGAGATGAGAGAGTGAGCTTTCATCCAGGTGTTGATGAGCTTATATTTTAGAAAAATTATTATAGGCAAAGTTATAAAAATTATTATAGGCAAAGTTATAAAAAATTATTATAGGAAAAGTTTCATATGTAGAAATTTATTGATTTGTGAAATATGATGGTGGGTATTTACTAAATGGCTCGTTTGCCTTAAAGTATTAATTGCATACTTCAAGAATAATAGGGATCATTCACCATAATTACAATTGGTAGCTACAAAATGGACGGATAGCTCACTACTTTTCCACCGGAATCTCTAAAATGCTTCCATCAAAGCTTTTCTCTTAATAAAACCGACATTTTTGTAAAAGGATACTTAATTCCAGAAGGAGTATGCATACATATTTAGATGAAACCTTACACTACTGACAATAAGACACGAGATGTGATAGAATTTTCGTAAGGCTTTTGACGTGATATGAGTACTAACACAAATGCTTGATGCTTCGGAGCAGTTTTATGGCTAAAACACTGCTGAAAAAAATGGTACACTTGTGCCACTTTCGGAGACACACGTTGAGTGGACGTAGCAGGTGTCCAGTAAATTCATGTAACCTAAATACTGTCGAGAATTTTGTATAAAAGATCGTGTTGCAACTTTCTTGACAGCATTTGATGCGGGTGATAGGTAATGTTTTGGAAGAAATATTCCGAAATGCTCTTCTCTCATTTAAAACCAAGTTGGATTTCATAAGACTTTAGATGGAAAATTATTGTATTGTGTTCATAGCATGTTGATTTTCTGTTGCTTAAAAAATGTGAGTTTTCTTATGATATAGTCTTTCGAATAATGAGTGATTTGCCTTATGAATAAGCTCCTTCACTCGATCCTGAAATCCCGAATATTTAAGTTGGTTTTTCACGTACGTTACAGGCTCACAGATGCACTACCACGTCTACTGCAGGAGATGCAGTAGAGTATCAAGTGAACTTCCAACATTTCCTTTTAATTCGTTTGCAATAAAAAAGCATTTTTGCCAAATATACAATTAGTGCTGTATCTTCCTTGTTCCAGTTCTTCTGGATGTATTACTGTAGTATAAAAGATTAATCCAGAATTATTCTTTTTATAAGACCGAATATGAGTTTTGCTTCTTTATTCTGAATGTAGTATTAATCAGCTTTGTCTAGTGAATAAACCAATATCTACATCAAATGAGCCACGACCAAATTTTGCATTAGCACTTGGTCCAAACCAAATTTTCAGGTGACACAGGGGAATAAGAAAAAAAATGATAAAAACAAGCTGAAATTTATTTTGTAATCAAAGCGTTGATGCTATCAGCGAGATAAAGAAAAAGGTTGGTTGTTTTCCATTGTTTCAATTTTTTTCTCACAAAGGATATATATTTTGGATGTTATTCTTGTGTTTTATTCCTACTTCATGTTATACTGGTTCTTCTTAAATGATGAAAGATTTTTTAAACAAAATAATACAAGATGTGATATAAGTGCATGCTTTTGAGTGTGTAGAATGAGTGGACTTTCAAAAGAAACAGTAGAAATAGAGAATTATTAAAAATAAAGGGAATAAGTAATTTTATTAGAGAAAGGAATTCATGAAAGATATATCGACGAGAGGAAAATAAATAAACAAAAAGAATACTGTAAAAAGGATTATAATAAAAAGAAATGTCGTAAGTAAACGTAAAAAATAATAATCTCATTAGAAAATAAAATGATTTTTTTTAATGACGATAAATGTTGGCAAGGAAAATACAAAAATATATAAATTTACAATAAATTAAAATGTACTGAAAGTACAAAAAATGAAAGAAATGAAAGTATCTTCTCAAAATCTGTTCGCAAGAATTTAAATTGCAAACAATAAGTAAACACACATCCATGCACACACATACAACAAACAAAAAATAAATTTATAAAACTAACCAAGAAAATGAATAAAAATGCATATCTTTTTCGTTCAACAAATATTTATTACATTATATTTTATTTCGTGTCCTCAGTGTACATCTTCATCTAAAATTGAAATTGGATCCAATTTTAAAAAAAAAATATTTAGGCTTAAACACATTAATAATTCAAACAATTTTTATTGAAAAGTTCTTGCAAGCCATTGTAAACGGGAATCGTTAGATGCGGCGTTTAAAACCAAATTGACGAACATCACTTCGTGCGCGTGCGCGCTAATATGATCAGTGCTCTGTTGAGTCGATGTGGCACGAAGGGACA